CTGGTGGTCAGGCGCTGGGTGACCAGGAGCTAACATCTTCCCAGGAGCTAACTGGGGCAGACGGCATGTCCTCGGCCCAGCCCAGCCCTGTCTGGCCCTGCTCCCTGCTCCCCTCAAGTCCCCAGAGACAGTGTGAGTAACCACCCCTGGACCAGAAATGCCCCCCTATCTCCAGATGTCCCATCTCTTTTGTTGCTGGTGTTAATCCTCGCCTTGATTTTTAGAGAGCGTGGAAGGGAGGGAGGGAAAGGGAGCAAGAGAGGCACATCAGTTGGTTTCCTTCTGCATGTACCCCAACCAGGCAGGGGTTTGAACTTTCACCCCAGGCATATGCCCTTGATTGGAATCAAGCCCCCAACCCTTTGGTTCACGGGCTGAAGCTCTAACCACCGAGCCACGCTGGCCAGGGCTCCAGATTTCCCCTCCTGGGCCAGGAGGAAAACTTCCCAGCTGTCTCTGCGGCCTCTAGGCCTTTGCCTGCACCAGGCCCTCCACCTAGATGCTTTCCCCACTCGGGTCCCTACTGGGGCACCCGTGCCTGTGACCTCCCAGAGGTGTGGGGCACCTGCAGGCAGGACACCAGGCAAACTAAAGTGACCCCGGGCCAGCAGCCAACTCCACCACTGCTTAGCCGTGTGTGTGTCATCCCAAACTCCTAGTAGCCACATGTGTTAAAAAATAAAAAGTGAGCCCTGGCCAGTTTGGTTCAGCAGTTAGAGCGTTGGCCCACGGTCCAGAGAGACTGGGGTTCGGTTCCCGCTAAGGGCACGTACCTCAGTTGCAGTTTGTCCCCAGCCCCAGTTGGGGTTATGCAGGAGGCAGCCACTCGATGTGTCCCTTTCACATCGATGTTTCTCTCTCTCTCTCTCTCTCTCTCTCTCTCTCTCTCCTTCCCACTCTATCTGGGTGAGGATTAAAATAATAAAGTAAAAAGTGAGATTAGTTTTAGAAATATGTTTTCTTTAATCCAATACATCTAAAATATCATCATTTCAATATATATAATCAGTATCTAAACTATTGGTGGGTTACCTTGAAATGTGGTTTTACTAAAGGAGTCTTTTACACTGTTTCTGTTTCTTAAAGTTAAATGTAAATGAACTAAAGTTAAATAAAATTGCAAATGTTCACTTTTTGGTCACATGTGCCCCATTTCCAGTGGTCAATAGCCTCAAGTGGCCAGAGGCTCATGTGTTGGACGGCACAGGTCTAAGCCATGTTTACCTACCGGTCTCGTTTGGGGACACAATGCCAGGCCCTGACCCAGAGGCCTTCTTAGATATCAGTCAGAAGGATAGATGATGGATGGGTGAATGAATGGATGGATGGGTGGATGGATGAAGGATAAATAAATAGAGAGACAGATGGATGGATGAAGGATAAATAAATAGAGAGACAGATGGATGGATGAAGGGTAAATGAAAAGATAGAGAGATGGATGGGTGATGAATAGATAGATGGATGATGAATGAAAAGATGGAGAGATGGATGAAGGATAAATGAAAAGATGGAGAGATGGATGGATGGATTGGTGGATGGATAGATGGACGGATGGACAATCAGTTCTCCTCCCCGTGTCCCCATCCAGCTGGCACTGGGTTTCCAAGTCTCTTTCCTCTCCTCCAGATGCTTAGAACCTCCCCAGAACCATTTCTGTGGGGTCAGTGGCCCGATCACTCTCCCTCTCTCCCTGCCACTGAGTAAGATGCTATTCTAGTGTCTTCTTTTTCCTTTTTTTTTTTTTATCCTCACCCGAGGACATTTTTCCATTTTTTGTTCAGATAGAGTGGGGGGGAGAGAGAGGGAGAGAGAGAGAGAGAAACATCGACGTGAAGGGACACATCGAGTGGCTGCCACCCGCACGACCAACCAGGGCCGGGGACAAACTGCAACCGAGGTACGTGCCCTTAGTGGGAACCGAACCCAGGTCTCTCCGGACCGCAGGCCGACGCTCCAACCGCTGAGCCAAACCGGCCAGGGCTCGTGTCTTCTTTTTCTTGCTTCCACTTCCTTCAGAGCTTAGGTCTCTCACCCTCTACTCAGGCCCTTCATCTCCCGGACTCCATCCCCTTGTTCTAAATAGATCGACTGGTTCCTCCAGGCACCACCAATCACTCATTCCTCCCTCACCCCGTGACAAGCCACGTCCTGTCTCGACAGCATCTGTTGAACATCCAGTGCATTCTGGGAACTCTACCCGGTGCTTCTCTCTGGATGCAGCAGGGGACACACATGTCACAAGCCCCATCTTCACGGAGTGGACGGTCTGATGAGAAGACAGTCAGCAAGACCAAGAAGGAAAACACTCGGGATGTCGATGGGGACGCGAGCTACGGAGAAAAGTCCGGCAGGAGAGGGTGGAGACATCGGTGGAGAGCTTGGAGCGGGTGTGACGGGGCAGACTTGGATGGAGGGTGGTGGGGAAGCTTCTGTGTGCCTGGGGAAGAGCACGTCAGACAGGGAGTAGCAGGTGCAAAGGCCGGAGGTGGGAACTGTTTCCTGGGCCTCTGGGTCCCCTTGTTTGGCAGGTCACCTCCCACTCAGACAGCCTTCAGGCCCACCTTCTCCTTTCAACATCCTCCTCTACACCCCCATTGGGTCTTCCTGGATTTCTTTGTTCCCCAGGACTGCCCCCCACCTTTGCCCTCCTGTCTCCCTCAAGGATCTGGGTGTTCTGTTCCCCTTAGACTCGCCCTACCCTGAGAACGTGAGCTTCTGGCTGGCACTGTGCCCCACCCTCTGGTTCCCGCAGTGCTGTGGGGGGCCTGGCAGCAGAGTTCAGCTGAGGTCCCAGTGGGAGGGACAAGACAAGGCTGTCACTTCCTCCGAGCCAGGAACGAAGGGCCTTTGAAGACAGAACAAGGGTGAGGTGACCAAGGCCCCAGGGCCAGGTGACATGTCTCCACTCAGCCCCCGCCATCCCTACATTAGGAAAGTCCACTGAGCCCCAGACAGGGACAGCAGGTCCTCTTGATTCCCCACCCCCTCTAGAAAGCCCTTTCACCGATGAAAACATCAAAGTTAATACTGAAAGTAGACGGGGCAGGATTCAAACTCAGTCCCGGTGTGGTGGAGGGTGAGAGGCGGCTCCCACAGATGGGCCTTTGGGCAGATGAACTGGGGGGCTGCGACGCCCCACGATGACTGTCTTCTGCTCAGAGTGAGGGTGGGCAACACTGTGTGACCTTGGGCAAGTCACCCCTCTCTGAGGCCCCTTTCTGTGTCTGAAACATGCCATCGAACTCACATTGCAACATGTGGCAAACTGGAATTGGTCAGCAAATAGAATTTTAAATAGTGATATTTTTGTTTTTATTCATTCAACCAAAATTTCTCTGGCACATGCTAGAAAAATGAGGATAAATTTCTAGAAAGATTCAACCAAAATGTTAATTAATGATGGTTATCCCTGTGAGTAGAAGGACAGTCACAGGGATCTTAATTTTCTTTCTAGACTTATATGCTCAGACATTTAAAAACACTTAAAAAAATAAAAAAAAGGTATGCACACTCCTTTTGTCCTATTTTTCAAAAGTCACTTTTTGCCCTGGCTGGGTAGCTCAGTTGGATGGAGCATTGTCCCAATACGCCAAGGTTGCAGGATCATCTCCAGTCCGGGCACATACAAGAATCGACCAATTGCCCTGGCCAGTTTGGCTCAGCAGTTGGAGCATTGGCCCGAGGACCCATGAGTTGCGGGTTCGATTCCGGTCAAGGGCATGTACCTCGGTTGCAGTTTGTCCCCGGACCTGGTCGGGTCATGCGGGAGGCAACCAGTCGATGTGGCTCTATCACATCGATGTTTTTTTCTCTCTTTCTCCTTCCCACTCGATAAAAAAAATAAAAAATAAATAAAATGAAAAAAGAATCGACCAAAGAATGCATCAATATGTGGAATAACAAATCGATGTTTCTCTCTCTCTTCCTCTCTCTCTAAAATTAATGAACATATCCTCAGGTAAGGATTGAGAAAAGGAAAGAAAAATAATAATAAAATAAAGCTCCTCCTTCGTCAAAAAAAGAAGAAGAAGAAGAAGAAGTCACTTTTGGTGAGAAGATTGGCCTTCGTGACTGGACTCCGGGTCTCCGAGGCTCAGGAGACGACTGGGTGGGGGCAGCGGGCTTGGGGGTTTGGGGGGACAGAGCAGAAGGGGATGCTGACTTTACTGAGCCTACTGCTTGAGAAATGTTTTACCCAGTCAACAGCCCTGTGACATAGTGCCTCTTACGGTTGGGGAAACTGAGGCACAAGGCGCCGATGGGACTGGTTCCGGGTGCCACAGCTGGGAGGTGCTGGAGCTGGGATTCAAACCAGGTGCTGTGACCTTCAAACCCCCACACCGAGCCCTGTCTGGGGGTTATTGGAGGCATCTCTGGGTCTCTCTGGGGCTCACTATCTCTCGCTATCTCTGACCCTCTTGTTTCTCTGCCCGTTCCTTGGCCTCTCGCTGTCTCTGTCTCTGTCTCTCGCTGTCGCTGACCCTCCCTCGGTCTCTCTCCCACCTGAGCTGCTGTGGCCCCGGCTGTGTCTCTGTCTCTCAGTCTGTTTCTAGTGCGCCCCGCACAGTGTCAGCCCACGGGGCAGTTTCTGTCCAGAGCTGTCCCAGGACTCAGAAAAGCTCTGGCAGACAGGAGGCGCTCAATAAAAAGTTCTCGAGTGAATACAGGAACGAATGAATGAACGAACGAACGAATGGACTCTCTGGGATGGGATGGGCTCTTTTGCCAGATGAGCAAACACAGGCTCCAGGTGGGCACCGACATGCCCGGAGCCAGCAGCCTGGAAGGTTCCCGTGCGGGTTGACGCTGACCCCTGGACTCTGCCCCCACGCACTTAACAAGATGCCCAGGACCTGCCCATCACCCCTCCTCCCCACTCTCGGAGAAGGGTGGCTCCCTCCCGGCCTCTCCCCACTGTTGGAGGCGTGGGTAGCAGCTGGGAGAACCGGCTGGGTGCTGCCCCTCCCCTTGGGCGCGGAGGTAGGCACCTGGAGGGTTCCCCGGGTGGCAGACGCCGCTGCTGCCCATACCGGGTCCCCGTGCCGTGCCGTCTGCTCCCTGCACGTCCTCCCCTCCCCATCCTCGCCCGCCTGCCATGGACGGGCCCGCTGCACCCCGGGCCCCGGCCCTGTGGGGCTCCTACGATGACGACATCTCGGAGATCAGGTGAGACGCATCCCCTGGGGGAGGCCTGCAGGGAGAGCCACGGGCCTCCTCCGGCAGGCGCCCCCGCCCCCACTCCTCAGCCTCAGACCCCGCGGACCTGCTGGCTAGGCTGGGTCCATCGGCCACTCCGGCTGCTGATTTCTCCCAGAAGGGAGTCGCTGTCCTGAGTCACGGGCTGGGATGTCTGGGTGTCTCTGCCCCTCTTGGGGCCTGAGTTTCTCTGTCTGTCAAAGGGGCCCACAGCCGTCTGTCTCCCGGATACAGGGCTGGGTGAGGCAGACAGGCTGCTATGCGGTAGGTGCTCAGGAAACAGGAGGGCCCGCTGTACCCCTTTCCTTCCTGGCCACCTTAGAAAGCTCTCACATCGGGGTGCTTTCCCCTCACAGTGGCTGGTATGTACCACCAGCTCTGTTCGGTGCTGATGGGAGACAGAGGTGGCTGGGGCCCAGGGTACAGCTGAGTCCCAGAGTGGGAGGCTGGGTCCCAGTGGGCTGGGGGCCCAGAAGGTGGGCCCCGTCTCCTTGGACCTCACAGGAGAAGTTAGGATGGAGCACCCCCCCCACCACCACCTCTCGGGCACAACTCCTTTGTTCCTGAGGATGAGTCAGACACTTTCATAGTATTTGTTTGCCAGATAGGGAAACTGAGGCTAAGAGGGAAAGTGATTCATCGTGCAGCCAGAAGCAAACTTGAACCCAGTCTGTCTGACCCCAGAGTCTATGATTTCTCCTCTTCTCAGCAGCCTCGGTGATACCCCCTCCCCATGGCTCCGTTTTTCAGATGAGTAAACAGAGGCTCAGAGAGGGCAGGTGGCCTGGCCAAGGTCACACAGCAAGCTACTTACATGATCTTCAACTCCCAGTATCTTACACTCTGCCAGGCAAGGGTCTCCTACTGGCCTTCTGGGCCCCTCCAGCCATAACGCTTCGGGCCCTTTCCCCTCGCACGTGCTGGGGCAAGAGAGGCCTCCCTGGTGTCCCAGACTCCAGAGACAGGAGCGGCCGAATTCAAATTGCTGTGTGATATAGACAAGCCTCACGGTGTCTCTGGGCCTCTCAGGCTGGGGGAGGCCACCAGGCTGGTGCCTGTAGTTTCTCCCTCCGGAGATAAACCGAATCCCCACCTGGGTTCCGCCTCTGGGAAGGTTTCAGCCTCAGTTTTCTCATCTGAAAAATGGAGGCAAATAACCCTCAGCTGTAAGACACCTCTAGACCTGAATGTCTGCAGCCCCCTGGGTGTTGCTCTTAGGATTTCCACCTTTCTTTTCCATGAGCTTCTGGAATCCTCCGAACCCAGAAGGATGCCTCCCATGAGGGCCTTTAGCATCCCTTCTGGGGCCTCGTCCCAGACCCCGCAGAAACACAAGGCCCCCACTGAACTCAGCGGCACCCCCAGAACTGCTGCCCCTCCCGGCGTGCCACCTCAGGGATGGGCCCAGCAGTCACCAGATTAGAACCCCACGCACTGCCTTTGTCCCTTCCTTCCTCTCCCTCCCACAGCCTGTCACTGTTCAACCCCACTTCCCTCTAACCTGACTCTCTCCTTTCCCATGGCCCCAGCTCAGGCCTCCTCTTAGCCCCTAGCCTAGAGCCTCCCTCTAGCCTCCCCCCTCCAGTCCTTCCCAGAGCTGCCCCTCCCCTGCTCCCAGTCCCAAAGCCACTCCAAGCCCTGGCACTCTGGCCACCCATCTCCATCTCCTCCCTCACCTGCATTCCATCCAGCCCTTGACTTCCAGTTTCCCGGCCACACCTCACCATTCCCTGCCTCAGTGCCTTTGCATATTCAGTTCCCTCAGCAGGGATTTCCAGAGCAGTCTCTTCCAATCTCCAAATCTACCCCTGGCCATGCCCAGCTCAAGTCCCTTCCACGGCTCCCCAGCGCCCATGGTGATGGTTTCCAAAACATTTTAAAGACACACATACCCTTGGCCAAGAGAAATCTTACTCCCAGGCGGAACCACATCACAGAGATCAAGGCGGAACTGTTCTTGTTTAAAATGGGGGAGCGAGCCGAGGGTCCCATCACTTGTCTTGCTTCTTCTGTGGCCTCACCTCTTTGCTCCCATGGTCCCCACTCTCCTCGCTAACTGGGCCCCATCTGGCTGTTTCCACGGCCCCTCCAGCCTGGATCACCCACCTTTGCCTGGGAGGACCTCTCTGCTTCCTATGGCCAACACCTCCCACAATTTAAGACTCTTGGCCACCACAGGTAGGTTCCTGATCATGCTTTCCATTTCAAACTCATCCTGTGGCCCCTAAATGCTGACCTGTTGACAGATAAGGACAATGTGGGGACCACCTCTGTGGTCCTAGGCTCAGGGAGGCCTATGACATCTCTGAGAGTGATGTCAAGAAGTGAAAAGGCCCTTGCTGGTGTTGCTCAGTGGTTAGAGCACCAGCCGGCTGACCAAAGAGTTATGGGTTTGATTCCTCAGTTGTGGGTTCAATCCCCGGCCCCAGTCGGGGTTGTACGGGCGGCAACCAATCGATGTGTCTCTCTCACATCGATGTTTCTCTCTCATTCCCAATAAAAAAAAAATCAATGAAAATATCCTCAGGTGAGGATAAAAAATAAATTAATTAAATTTAATTTTTAAAAAAAGGAATGAATGGAGGTGAGATGAGACACCCTCTGAGCTGGCTGGAGCTGGCTGGCCGGTTAGTCAGGATGAGAAGACAGGCAAGGACAGGGCACGCAGGAAGGGGCGACAGGACGGGCAAAGGACAGCAGCTCTTGGGATGAGAGACTGCATGGATCCGAGGGGCCACATGGGCAGTGGAAAATTCCCGTGGAGACCACTGTTACACAATAGCCACGTGATGACTCAACATCAAGTCTGAGAAGCAACTCTCAGACGCCGTCCGCAGCCTGGTTCCTTTAAGTTCCCATCCTCCCCAAACGAGAACAGCTGAGCAATGTATTGCCTTGGGGGTACAGGCCTATGTGATAAAACGGTCCCCCCAAAACCAGGTAACTGACAAAGATTTCATTTGAGATAGCGGTTGTGGGGAGGAGCCCCAGGGGACAAGGAGGAGCCCAGAGACACCAGCAAGACACGTCACCCAGAATGCTCTACTCCACGGGGTTTGTTACCAATTTTGTTTTATAAATGTTATGTGTTCCATGTACCTTGTATGTACGCGGCAGACTAAAAAGGGATAATAAGGGCAAAATTAAATTTTTAAGAGGAAAAAGTTAGAATCGGGAGGTAGGCAAGACACAGTTATGGTCAGTTTACAGGCTGTGTAGCCCATGGAGGGACAAGCCCCAGGGACATTAATCCCTAGAGAAGTTTAAAAAAAAACGTGTGTATATATATATATACACACACACACACACACACACACATATATTTTTATAAATATATATATATATATTTTAGAGAGAGGAAGGGAGAGGGAGAAACATTGATGTGAGAACGAAACATCAATCAGCTGCCTCTTGCACGCCCCCTATTGGGGATCAAGCCTCAAACCTGGGCATGTGCCCTGACCGGGAGCTTAACCGACAGCCTTTTGGTGTTTGGGATGATGTCCAACCACCTGAGCCACATGGGCCAGGGCCCTAGGGAACTTTTCAAGCTCTCACCATGCCCAGTGCTTTCCACCCATCACCTCACTCGATCCTCATAACAACTGTTTGAGATGAACTATTATCATTCCATTTGTGATTGAGACAACTGAGGCCCAGAGAGGTTGAGTGACTTGCCCAAGGTCACACAGCTGCCAAGTGGGCGGAGTTGGGATTTGAACTGAGCCAGGCTGACTGGACAGGATGGGCAGGTGTGAAAGGAATTAGAGGGTGAGCAAGATGAGGGAGGGGCAGGATCAGGGAGGTAGCCCCTGCCCAGAGAGGAGGCCATATTTCCTGGGCCATCCTGAGCACTGGGCTGTACCTTGACCAGCCCCTTCTGGAGAGGGTCATGGTCAGAAGCAGCCAAGCCGGCACTTGGACCTGTGTTTCTGCTCCTCCCCCGCCCCCTTTGATCTTGGAGGCCACGTGCTGGCCTTTTCAGATCTCGGCCTCTTTATGGCTGAGGTCGTCAGCCCTGGTTTTACGACCCAGCCCCTCCTTCCCGGGAGGGCCGAGCCACGCAGATGATTTTATGGCTGCAGCCCTGCCAGCCACAGAGCTGCCTTTTCCGAGGGGAAGGAGGGCGCTAATAACAGGGTTTTAAGCAATAAATAAATAGTGAGACATTGGCCCCGGTCGCCCGGATGGAATTTGGACCGCCAGAGAGGAAGGGGTTCTGGGCCGCCGCTAGTCGTTAAGGTGCTTTGGCGAGAATTAGAAAGACACTCACAGTCCCCCTTCCCCTCTGCAAGGGACCAAGGCTTGGAGAGTGAAGGAAAGATGTGTTTCGGGTCCCACCTGCTCTTAGGGGCTGGGGTGAGGTGGTGGGACGTGTACCTGGTGGTCCTGCGTAGGGACCGGGAAGTGGGGACAGCTGGGATCCACCTAGAACTGAGCGGCCCAGTGTGCCGCAGGGAGGCTGGAGAGGGACAGTGGACCACAGGGCAAGGAGGGAGAGCCTGGCCCGGCGTAGGGAGGTCCAGGGGGTGGGAGAGGTGAGGCCAGTCACTCTCAGAGGGAGTTGGACCCAGGCTGGGACCTCAACCAGGACCTCAAGGACCCTGCCACGCAGGCAACAGTGCCTGATCACACGGTGTGCGGGGAGGCACCCTGAGTTAAGTCCACCCATGTCGCTCACTTTCTGGGACCCGCCGGGCACAGGTCTCTCGGGGCTGTGAATCTGTAAATCTGTGACCTGGGTGCAGCGGGAGATGCCTGGCCAAGGGCTGGACCGGGCTCTGCTGAGTCAGGCTTTGCATGGTTGTCTTTCCTTCCTCCTCCTCCTCTAATTCCGATGACTCCTCTTCAGCCAGGAACTCGGGTGCTGGAAAGGGTGAGGTCAGGGTGAAGTCTGATAATCATTTCGATCCTCCTGAGCAGTCACTGTGAGCCAGCCCGGCTCTGAGGGTTCTTTCCGTCTCCTAACA